TAATCCTAGCACTCAGGAGGCTGAGGCAGGAGGATCATTGTGAGTTCAGGACTAGCCTGGGCTACAAAGTGAGCTCAAGGCCAGCCTGAACTGCATAGTGAGACCCTGTCTCAAAAAGAAACAAACAAACAAACAAACAAAAATTTTAAGCAATAAGTATTTAAATGAAGATGTGTTCCACAAACATACCATTCATATTGAGAATATATTTTAATTTAAATATTTCATATTTTGCCCTTAAAGCCAAATATGTCTGAATATCTGATTCGGGGATTTCTTTTCATTTGTCCCTTGACAGCTTCTTTCACTAGTGAATTTTAAAAACCAGTCTACTGGGGCTGGGGATTTAGCTCAGCGGCAAAGCGCCTGCCTGGCAAGTGCAAGGTCGTGAGTTCGGTTCCCAGTACCGGAGAAAAACCAAAACAAAAAAAAAAAATAAATAAATAAAAATAAAAACCAGTCTACTGGTGTAGCTTTCTCGTGTGTTCTATGTTATAACTTTCCCTCAACAAAATGCTCCTTTTCTTATTTTGACCTGCCCACAGTGTACAAGGGCTCTCAGATTGGTGCACACAACACTATCTCTAGAAGGACTCTGGTTTTCGTGTGGTACCGGGTTTTGAACCAGAGTCTTTGCAGTGATCCATATCCTCTGCCTTTTTTTTTTTTTTTTTTAATTTGGAGTCAAGGTCTAGTTAAATTGCCCAAGCTGGGGTGAAAATTACATCCTCCTGTCTCAGCCTGCCCACATGCTTGGATTATGGGCATGTGTCTCTATACAGCTCTGGGAGCGGGGCTCATTAAAAGAGATTGCCTCTGATAGCTCTGACTCAGTAAGCTTGGGGTTGGGGTGGAAATTTGCACTTCCAAGAGTTCTTAGCTGAGGCTAAAGCTTGTGTCCCCACTTTGAGAAGCACTGCTCTGGATAAAATATCATGGAGGAGGATAACGGCGTGGTCTCGCGTGCTGGGAGTGGTGAAGGAGAGAAGTGGATGAATTTGACTAGACGTAGGGAGCCATGAGCAGGGCTTATCCATGGTTTGGATGGGAATGATGGTGAAGATGGGGTGGTACCTGGAATAGTTGCACAGATGGATGTAACCGAGGGAGGGAGCTGGGTGGAAGTGTTAAACATGATGGGACATTTTATGTTCTGGTTTGAGAATGTTAAAGCTTTGATGAATTTTAAGAATTCAAGCACAATGCCTAGCAGAGAGTAAGTTTGCAAAAAATGACAGCCATTGTTATTGCTATGGTTACTACAGTCACTGAAGACTGAAGAGGCCTTATCACCTCCACTCACCAGAGGTAAACTCCCACCTGCATTACTCACAGCCACATTCCAGGGCTAGCTAGTACTCCCTTGTGTGCTCCAAGAGATTTAGGTAGGGACAAGGAAACTTCCTCTTTAATGATGTGCCCTCACAGGACAAACCAGGGGGAAGGATGAAAAAGGGGAGAAGGAGGCGTGGTTCTAATTGTAGAGGTTCTTCTCTGATCGCAGAGAACCTCAGAACTATGCGAAATACAAAGAATTTGCCCATTTTAAAGATTCAGAAGTAATTTGTAAACGTCGTGTAGAAACTCCAGTAAAAATTCAAACCTAGCTTTTTCCTTCCCCATCGTATCTATGCTTGCTACAGCGCAAAGGCGTGCACTGCCAAACAGACCCGCCCCCTTTCTTTTGCTGGCATATTGACCTAGTAGGCTGCAACTGTACCCTAAGCACCCTGTGGCTTTTACACAGTGGCTTTTAAACTTTTGTAACTGTGACCCACAGTAACAACAACTTTCTTTTTCAGTAGTGGGGACTGAACTCTGTCACTCAACACTGAGCTATTTCCCCTCCCAACCTCCCTTCTTAAATTTTTTAATTTTGAGCCTATCTAAACTGAGTTGTCCAGGATAGAATGACACTTTTGATCTTCCTGTCTCTGCTTCCCAGAGTGCTGGGATTACACATGTATGCCACCAAGCCAGGCAAGAACTTTTTATGAAGCAAGTCAGTATGAACATGTGTCACACTGTACGTGTATTTGTGTGGGCGTACGTGTTCATATGTACTGGACACATATACATGCAACAATACTATAGGGGCTAATATCTAATAAGCAATACTTACTAGCTGCCTGCATTGTTAGTATTCTCAGTGGATGCGTTCTGATCATTTTCTGTTCATCTATTATGATAAACATTTATCAGGACCCACGAATCGATGTCACTATTTCACCAAGGCAAAGGGAAGCCCTGATGGACAGGGGAAAAGGGAGAGAGGATGTTTATAGGCCCATCATCAGTGGAAAATCTGTACTTGCAGGCTTGCAGAGGTTCGTGGGAATCAAATGTAGTAAATATCGATCAAAGAACCTTTAAGATAATCAGGTTGTTCTTTGATTTTGCCCGCATAGCTGTGTTCACATAGACCAATTATTCACAGTCTCAGATGCTTATTTTCTCATCCGTGAAGGAGGAATTTGACCTGTATCCTCCCCAAGGATCTTCTCCACCTCCCTGGGACAGGATTCCCTGTAACTGATACTACCCTGAGGTCACTGATACTCCCAGAGACTCCCAGCAGATAGTGGTAGTGATGGTGGTGATGAAGACGAGGGCAGCAGTGATTCTTTTCTGAGGAAAAGGAAACTGTTAGAAATTCTCTAAAGGACTTTTAGAAGAAAGGAGAAAACACTCAATCTTGGGGGCAGTAATCAGTCTCATTTTCAGTTCATATAGGGCAGCTGATAAGTACGGAAGCTGTTAAGTTCAGCTTCATTTTTGTAAATGATCAACCAAACTATTCACGTTTGAGAAGTAGAAAAGTGACTTTAGGCAGTACTACAAATAGACATCAAAACTTTCCCTGAAATGCTTTTTGTGTCATTTCCCCAGCTATTAGGGAGCATAAGAACAGAAGCGTAAGTTTGTGGAGTATCTGGGGTATAAAAGGAGCGTACACATGTAGGCTATTGCAATGTTTATGGTTTTGATATCTACAAATACCAAAATGCTGCGTAAAGTCCCTGTGTGCGTTGTCTGTGAACTGAACCTGTCTCTAAAAGACTTCAAAACTCCTCCTCCTTCCAGCTCGGAGGGGATGGGTATCAATTAGCTTGGCCTTGCCTCATCTCAAACGGGGAAACCGCAGCAAAGAAAGGTCAAATGCTTTGCCCCAGGTCGTCTGAGTCAAGAGGAAAACACTCCTGATTGGTGCTGAAGAGTCAGCCCTTCTCCCAGCCCCAGCCCCGCTGCCCTGCTCGCACAATGCTCTAAAGTATTTATGCAGAGAACCAGCTGGCCCTGGGTGGAAGCTGCACTGGGCTCAACATAATCTTGAATTTGAAGAAGAACCACAGGGCTGTTCAGTTGCAATTCGCCAATATCTCCATACATCAACCGTAAAGGCTATTTGATTTTTGTCGCCATCTACTTATTTTCCTGTCTTTATATAAATGCCTTTTTGTTTGTTAGGTTGGTTTGGTTGGTTTTAAAGAGCTAGACACGTCCGTGCATGCCTGTAATCCAGAGGCTGAGTGGAGGATCGCGGTGAGTTCGAGGCCAGCCTGGATACACAGACAGACCCTGTCTGAAAAAACCAACAAAAAGAAAAAGACAACACCTACACACACGAGAAAGAGAGAGAGAGAGAGAGAGAGAGAGAGAGAGAGAGAGAGAGAGAGAGAGAGAGAATCTTCTGCAGCAAGTAAGGGCTCTCTCCCTAGGGCACCTCATCTGATTTGTCCTCCCCAACTCTTTAATAAGGGTCAGATTCCTTATGGGTCCTTAACTTTTACAAAGTGATCAGTCACCAAATCAAATGTGACAAGTATTGTCATCTTCCAGGGGAAACTCTCTCGCTGGGCTTAAAAGAAAGCATCACAAAAGGAAAATTAAACTCTACAGGGCTATTTCCCTCATAAAATAAATCCTTCAAGGGTCTTCCACTTGCAAAAACACAGAGGGCCCAAGAGTATTCGGGCAGAGCGCTACCGCCCTTAGCACGCAGCCCCTAGCACGTAGTTCCTTTAGGTAAAGGAACCCCTGAGAGGCGGGGCGCCTGGCCCCTAATGAGCTCGAAGCCCCAGCACTGGGGACGCTCAGGAGACAGAATGCCCCCCTCCAAAGTGGGCCCAAACAATGGCTCGTGCCCAAGCGGTCACACTTGTTTTTCAGCGAGGTCTTGCCTGACAAAGGCAGGGTTGTAGCTCCTTGGGTCGCTCGACTTCCCAGGGGCGAGGTGTGCATTGTGTCCACACTGACTACTTGTAAAGCTGCAAAATTAACTTTCTGGAGCTTCTGGGACCGAAACCGTGGCAGTGAAAGGCGTGATTGGAAACTTGTGCGGGCCGAGGCCGCGGCGCGGCTGCTCTTTCAACAGGCGATTTGTTCTCCTATCCGTGGCTCATTTCCATGCAAAGAGCCGGACATCAGAGCACCTTTTGTTGCTAAACGCTTTCTTTAGCCTGGAGGGGAGAGAGTCATGTGGAGCTGGAAGAGCTCATTTTGAACAGAGGGGTCCCGGGAGCTGCTCGCGAGGTCCCCAGGCGCCGCCGTGCCCCCGTCGGGCCCCGCGGGGCCCCGC